AATCCCCCAGGGCCCACGACCCCAGCCCGCCTGCAGCCCGGGGTTCTCTCGCTCGGTGACAAACGCACGGCACTTAACCCCCCCCGCCCCGCCCCGCCCCGCCCCGCCCCGACAAGACACTTACTGTATTTTACATTATTTTCTGGTACATGGGTCCCTGCGGGCTGCCTAGAAATCCATTAGCAAGAGATGTAAAGATGCTTAAAGGCATTTACCCAGATTAGCTGCCTTTACTCAGTCAAGGATCTTTTAAATGATTACTTTAAAAGCTGAAGAGCTGCTGCAAAACATTTATAATACAAAGATTCCTAAGCAAAGAGCATCCATCCGACAGCAAATTAAGTCATTAAAAACAAACAGATTGCTCGGCTTGCTTTTAGTTCCAGCTGAACAGCAGAGAAGGTAAAAATAGTGAATACGTAGTGGGTGCCTTTCCCTTCTGGAGCTGGCAGGCAGGAGCTGTGCTGCTTCGAGCCCCGATTTATGAGCCCGTTTTACATTCGCTTTTCTTTTGGCCGGGATTTCTGTCACTTAGCTGTGATCGAGGAATGGCAGCAACGAGCTGGCGCTGCCGGCAGCACCGTCTTGCTGGGGTCAGGCCGTGCTGCCGTGCAAAGCCGTGCACGGGCCCCTAGGAAGGAGGTCAGGCTTGCTAGATTCGAGAGTCACGGATGGTGCTGGGTGTATTTGGGCTGGGGAGCGCCGCCAAAATCTGCATCCTTGTTCCTGCTAATCCTGTGCCCGCTCCGGCTTTGCTCGCGCGCCTCCGTCGGCCAAGCCTGCACAGCCGTGCCACCCCCTCGGCCTGCCCCGGCAGAGCTATCCAGACCCGTGGGGCTTGCTGCTGTTCCAGCGTCCCACCGCGCTGCCAGTCCACCCAGGTCCTGATCTGCCCCCAGCACCCTCTGCCATCCCAGGCTGCCTCTTTGGAGCAGGAACAGCGATGATCTGGGCTGCACTGGACCAGGCCCCAGGACCACCTGGCCTACTTCCCCGCTGAGTCCCAGAGAGAGCGACGGGGTGGTGCACGGGGCTGCCCGGCCCTCCTCTCCAAAGGCAGCTCCTGCCATCATGGTCCCAAGCCTCCGTCCTCCCAGCTCCTTTACCCTTCCAACTGCAACGCTGTTTGTCAGCAGCAGACAGAGCGCGTGCCTCAGGCCAGCGGCGGCCCTGCTCCCCGCTGAGACGCGCGGTCCTTGAGCTCGGGCACCGACGGTCCCGGATTCCGGTCCCGGTTCCTCGGGGCCGGTATCGATTTTTGTGACACGAGTGCTATTTTTACCGCTTCCTTTCTGCCACCGCTTGCAGCGGGTAATAGCGCATCTCAGGGAACTGCGGCAGCGCGGGGGCTGCTCTGCAGCGCTGGTCTGGAGCCCCTGCGGTGCCAGGCTGATGCCTGCAGCCCTGGCCAGGACTTGCGTTCCTGCGCTGCTCTCGGCCCGGGTTTCTCCTGCGCCCACTGATTGCTGGGGAACAGTGGCAAGGACAGAGCGCTGCGTGCGTGGCAGAGGTGACATCCTGGGGTGTGCAGTCCAGGGAGCGAGCACGCTGGCGTGCCAACCCCTGCTGGCTCCTGCATCTTGGTGCTCCCTTCTCTGCCAGCGTCCGCCCCTCTCTCCTGACTCCGACTCGGAGCAGGGACCCCCATTTTGTGCCGTGTTTGTGCAGCGCCAAGCGCCGTGTGGTCCGGGTCCCGGGCCAGGCCTGGGGCAATCTGGATAGATGGCAGCGAGAAGCACCCCGTGCTCCTTTTTGCCCTGACGGAGGTTTCTTACGCACTCCATCGTGCCAGGGACCGTTTCCCTCCGCAGCACGAGCCTCCAGAAGTGTCAGTCAAGCACCTCTGGCTGCTCGAGCCCCGAGTCCCAACACGCTCCCGCAGCGGATGAAACACTTTGTATTCGGTCAGCACCGGGAAACCACCAGCCTCCGCTCCTCCGAACACACCGGGCACGGCCGTGAGCGTGCACCGCTCGCGGGCATCCCCGTGGTCCGCGTCGATTCAGTGCCCTTTGTGGCACGAGCAGCAGGATCCCTTCCGTGCAGAGCAAGCTGCCGCGCTCCGGAGGCTGCTAAGTGCGATCCATACATCACACCCTGCGAGTCGCGTGTCATATTAGAGCCATCTCGTTTTAAAGGGCATCCTTCAAGCGCAAACTAGCTTTTCCCCACACTTGACTGATCGCACAAATAACCGTGATTAAAGGTCAAGTGCCTGGGTTTTTCTCTTTTACTCCTTAAAAATTTATATGCGCAAGAAACCCTCGGAGCTAACACAGCGTGAAATTGTGATGCAGTTCGGAGCCTGTAACGACAGCGGAAGATCGCTTCTCTTCCTGGGCGAGTGGAACGGTGTCCCGTAGGAATGGCTCTGGCTACGAGGAACCCGTCTGTCGTCTCGCTGGCCCGCCCGCGGTGCAGGAGCTCCCTGATTACGAACACGGGGGAGCGCGGGGTGCCGCGGGCCTTCCCCGCGCCCCGGGGAGCGCCCCGCCTCGGGGCTGTAGCTCACAGTACCGCCTTTTCTTAGTTTTTAATTATTTTTTACACAATTATTTATTATTATTATTATTCTAATTTATTTGATTTCCACGGGACATTGCTGGTGGCGGTGGCCCGGCTCGGCCCGGCAGGCCCGGGCGCGTCGCTCCGCGAATCGGCGGCCGCC